TTAGATTAATGGTGTAGTTATAATTCCATATTAGACTTTAATATTAGAATTAGACTAACGGTGAATTAACGGAAAAGTTAAATGGATAATCATATAATTAAGGATAAATTAGAAAATATCTTAAAAGAAAAAAATTAAAACCTGAACAATATGAACCATTCATTTGATTTAATAATTTGGCGGTCATTTTTTCTACCCAATGTTAATAATTGAATAAATTCGCTGGTCAAATCCGCTAGTATAATCCGCTAACGCTAACCGCTGATTGTCAAACAAGGACATTGCGAGGTAGTTCTCACTTCAATTTGTTGTATGATTTAAATACCCTCTTTGTCACAAAATCTCTCAAGTAGTTAATATGGTTGGCTTTATTAATTATATTTTTTAAAATTTTTTCATGATATTAATAAAATACTTGGTAAATAAATATATAGCATTATTTTGTATTATAACTTTGATATTTAATTAGAAAAATAGTGCACAAAAAAGATAATAGATAATGTAGTGAATATAATCAATTGATGAATTTGAATGTAAAAATTTTTACATTTGAGAAAAATAAAGACAATATAACTAATGAAAATATTTCTTTTAATTAATTTATTGATAATTAATAATTTTTTTTTACTGAATAAAGACATTGTAAGGACAATGTAGCGAATATAATCAATTAATAAATTTGAATATAAAGAATTTTTATATTGAAGAAAAATAAAGACAATATAACTAATAAAATTATTTCTCTTATTTAATTTATTGATAATGAATATTTTTTTTTGAATAAAGGCATTGTGGACACATAATTCTAAATTAAAGAAATGCATATGTATTATTTTTTGTTGTAACTACTAAATTATTATTTATATAATTTAATAAGAGTAAAATAGAGTACTAATTATGCCAACTTTGATTGGGATGAGGTTCGAACCTAAGACTTTTTTTTTATTGAAATCAATGAGTAAGTTAATGGTGAACTAACGGCAATTCTTAAAATTTTAACGGAATTAGTAACAGTGTGTGGGTATTTTAGGAAATTTTAGTGTAAAATTTAAATCTGATCAATCTGAGCCATTCATTTGATTAAAATCTGTGACCGCCATTTTTTCTACCCATTATAGGTCTAACTCTCTTGGGCTCTTATTAGTATAGTAGATAATACACTTGGTAGTACATGTTGCATAATGCACTCATAGCAAGTTTGGTTCATGGAATAAATTTTGAGGTAATAGGAATGATATTCCATAAGGAATGGAATAGGCAAGGGATAGAATATGAATTGTATTCTATTGTTTGGTTCGCGGAAGGAATAAACTTTAGGAATTATATTACAGTATTTGGTTGATTGAAGGAATAGAAATGAAATATGTTTTAAAAGACATAAATACCCTTATAAAAATATGTGATGGTGGCGGCGGCGGTGGCAGTGGTAGCGGCGGTGGCGGTGGCGGCAGTGGCGGTGGTGGTGGTGGCGGCGGCGGTAGTGGTGGTGGCGGCGGTGGTGACGACGGCGATGGTGGTGGTGGTAGCGGTGGTGAAATAGGAAATAAATTTAATTGGGGGGTAAAATAGAAAATAGAAACTTTAGGTTATTCCTGAGAACTCAGGAATAGCTTAATACCAGGGGGGGCCCCAGGAATCTCTATTACCCTTGCAAGGGAAATAGGTCATTCCCGGGAACAATGTTCCTGGGAATACAAGTGGTTACCAAACATAGAAATATGCCTATTATTGGGAATGTTATGCCATTCCAGGCCTATTCTGTGAACCAAACAGCCCATCAAAGTTTGAGACAATTACCAAAATTATCACCTTATTATTATTATTTTTTATTACTTTATAGTTGTTGATTTTTCAAATTGACAACTAGGATGAGTTCTTATGTTTTTCCTAGGCATCGATTTTCAATTGAATGTTTCACACGGTTTCAAGTGATTGAAAACTTGTTTTCTCGTTAAAAAAAAGTGAAATAATCTCAACTATCCATCTGGGATGATATGATAGACAATGTTGAAAATTTAAGAAAAATCATCAACAGTTTCTTCATTATTATAAACTTTGAATGTGCATTGGATAAAATTTGATAGTGCATCATCGGTTAATAAATGATAGAGCACTCAAAACCTACAAATAATGAACTCAAGGTTGTTATATTGTAACATATAATTGTACCTTACAATGCAAACAAGCTTGAGTGCACTCTTTTTACCTAAAATCCATTCTATTTGAATTCGAAAAGATGAAATATCTAAAAATATACAACTCAATGTCATTGAGTTTTTCGCACTTTTGGTCCTTGAGTATTGTGACATTGACAATGTTGATCTACAACTTTCAAAACTTACCTAATTGGTACACGAGTATCAATTTTTAGCACAAATAGTCCTTCCGGTGAAATCTCTATTAATTTTTCACTGGAAAAATTATTTCCCCTTTATAGCAGGGGTATAGTGGTCTTTTTCTTTTGTGGAGATTTTACTGGAAGGACCATTTGCGTTGAGAAAATGATATTTGTAGACCAATTATGCAAGTTTTGAAAGTTGTGGATCAACATTGTTAGTGTCACAGTACTCATGGGACTAAAAGTGCGAAAAAAAACTCTAAGGAGAAACGTGGTGGTAAAAAAAAAGACCATTATACCCTTATTATAAAGAGAAAATAATTTTTTCAATAAAAAATTGATAAAGATTTTACCGAAAAGATCATTTACACTAAGAATTGATACTCATAAATCAATTATATAAATTTTTAAAATTGTGAATCAACATTTTTAGTAGAGTTAATACTCAAAATGGTCCCTCGACTATGCCATAATTACCAATTTGGTCCTCAACTACCATTCTTACCCAATTAAGTCCTCAACTATGTAACTTTTACTCAATTAAGTCCTCAACTATACAATTCTTACTCAATTTAGTCATCAACTATACAATTCTTACCCAATTTAGTCCTCTGTATTAATTTGACTGTTTGTTGACTGTCAAAAGTCGAGATAAAATTATAATTTTACAAGATTTCTCCTTCCTCTCCATTTAGCAGCGCCAAACCATGCAGCAATACACTCCGATCAGATTTCGATCGTCAAAAAATCATTGGAAATCAAATTCATGGGCTATCCGATGCATAACCACTACTTCGATACTGACGGGTTTAGAACCCAACCGGAGCTTATTGCTACATGGTTTGACGCTGCTAAATGAGGAGGAAGGAGAAAACTTGTAAAATTACAACTTTATTTCCATTTTTGACAGTCAACAAACAGTCAAATTGACAAAGGACTAAATTGGGTAAAAATTATATAGTTGAGGACTTAATTGAATAAGAATAATAGTCGAGTACCAAATTGGTAATTACGAAATAATCGAGGAACTATTTTGGGTATTAACTCTTTTTAGTATCACAATACTAGTAAGACAAAAAAATGTGCATAACTCCAATGCCATTTCTAATGCCCATAATAAGTTCCTGGTAGGTACACGCATTAATTTTCCTGACAATCCGGGGAATATTTGGCTTCCGTAAAGTTTATGTATGAGTTAATACTCAATATCGTCCTCGATTATAGTGGTTTTTTTCAATTTCGTCCTAAACGATTTTGGTGACCTAATATCGTTTCAGACTTTTGTATTTCACGCAATTTAGTCCCAGGCTTTTGTGTTTTTGCTCAATTTAGTCCATCATTTGTTATTATGTCCATTTGGTGTTAAATAAATACACAATTAAGTAATTTTAATATTGACATCTCTTTACTTATAGACATGTGAATTGCGAAATTCTTTTTTTTTTTTTTTTACGAATTACTCCCATAATTACTTATAAAACTGCGAATATAAAATTTGATTTGTAGGTCCGGGAGTAATTCTGGGTGTAATTCGTACAAGAAAGAGGAATTTCGCACTTCACAAGTTGAAAATAAAGAGAGATCAATATTGACATTACTGAATTGTCCCTTTATTTAACGCGAATTTGACGGAATAACAAATGGAGGACTAAATTGAGCAAAACACAAAAGTCTGGGACGATATTAGGTCAGCAAAGTCGTTTAGGACGAAATTGAGAAAAACCACTATAGTCGAGGACGATTTTGGGTATTAACTCGTTTATGTATTATGGCTTTTGGCTATCTTTGTTAGCATTTTCCTTTCGAGCAATAGCACAAAAACTTTTTTTTTAGTAGAAAATTCATGTAACTTGTTGTGACGTTGCAATTTGCACATCGATTTATTTTTAATTATTGACTATAAAAATGTTACACTTAGTTTAAAATATGTGAAATGTTTTTACCAAGCATCATTTTACCATCGATTTATTTTTAATTATTGACTATATAAATGTTACACTTAGTTTAAAAAATGTGAAATGTTTTTACAAAGCATCATTTTACTATATTTGAGAATGTTTTAGAGTAAAAGAAATATTTTTTAAAATTAGAATTAAATGTGAAACAAATTAGGGACGAGACAAATAAAAATAAAAATGTTAATGTAATTAGAAATAAAAACAAAATCATTGATTAATTATTCAATTGAGGTCGCTTTCTATTTGAATAAAAGTCAATCACAACTCACAAGACTTCAAATACTCATGTTCAATAATAATAGTTTTTTTTTTTTTTTTTTTTTTTTTTTTTTTTTTTTTTTTTTTTGCTGGCATGGTTCAGTATGTAGTATTTGGGGTTAAAGACCAATGTTTAAAACTCGATAGTGGTAGTGTGAGAATTATGTCCCAAGTGTCTAAAGTGGAGAGAACTGTTAAATACACCGACATTTAGTCCTATCTGCTAAGCCACAAAATCATGATTTATCTCTTTTTAAATACTCTATCAGGTCGAGATGTGGGGCCCTTAAGATTGAATATTCAACCTTTTGGAGAATAATAATATTCCATAATAGTTTTTTTTTTTAATTTGAAAAATAAACCAATAAGACAATAATTCCAACATTTTCCATGGCTTTTCGGTGTGGTGGGAAATGTATGTCTCCAAAAAATAATAACAGTGCTCATATGAGTTGTAAAAGCGACCACTCTCTGGTTTCTACTTCTCTAGTCTCTACTACCGCGCTGCCTATCCTATAATGTGATGCTTCAGCTTCCTCCTGGCAAAGTTTGTGGCCTCTTTTATCTCTACTACTCAAAAGTAAAGTGGGGTTCTGCTCATTTCCTGCATTCTGCTTTAGATTCTGTCTTTTTGAGGGAATTCAAGCTTTCTCTCTCAACTTTCTGACTGTGCTTACATTTTCCCCGTTTTGGGAACTTTTGTAGGGTTTTTCTTTTTGGAATGATTTGAAGTGAGATCAGATACTCACTGTACAGGTAATGCATTTGGTTTAAACTTATTTCTTGATCTTCTGGTTTCTGGGCTTAGTCTTAACAACTTTGGTGCTTCTGTAATGTGGATTCTGCAAGTTGCCCAGTTATTGATTTGCTGTTTTACCTGATTCTGAGTGGTTCTTTTTATGTGGCTAGAATGTCAAGTTGATCTTTGTTTTATTTTGGATTTTTATGTGAGCCTCAGTCCTTCAGTTGTTCCTTAATTTGGTTTATGAAGTCTATTTGATGTTCTTGAAGCATTTCTTTGAGGATTAGTTTCACAAATTTTATAATAGCAATGAATCTGAACCTACATTTTGTTATTTCCTTGCAACTGATAAGACTTAGAATTAGGCTTGAAAAGGTTTTGTGCTTGAATGCAAGATAGGGGAGGTTTTAGGTTTGGCTAAAATTGCATGATTATTCTCCATTATTAATAAATATCAAAATATTTTGTTAGTATTTTATTGAAAAATTAGTAGTTCATAGAAAAAATTACTTATAGCAACTAGCAACATAAGGATTGCCAATGAAAAAATAACTTATTAACCTAGCTTTTCTCTTTGTGAAATGCCAACCTGAGGATAAACTTTGCAACTTTCAAATACTTGAGTTGCATGAAAGATTCGACCTCAATGAAAAAAATCCATATGAGGTATTGAGGCGCACATGACTCCTCGGTCCTTAAATGGCTCTTTTCCAGAGCCAAATAGCCAGAACTTGCAAAAGTACCGTCGTTTATGTATGAATGATCAGGTGTTCTTTGAATTGCAGAATTGTAATATAGAGAGCTTGAATTTTCTTTGACAATTCAGGCTGAACCAAAGACGGTGCACTGGTTAAATTGAGGAGATACCAAATCAAATTCTTGTGCTTTGGTTGATGATGCTTAAACTATGGCCAGTAATTTCCCTGCTAATATGTGGGTTGTTGTCCAATATAGTAGGTAATGCAACTAAACTTTGTTGTCAATACTCATCGTATATGGAAACAATGTTTAGTAGCAGATGGGATCACTAATTTCATTTAACATTAGATTTCCGAGCTTCTAATTGGATGGTGTTATAAGAGTATTACCATACCTGTCTTTTTAAAAATGAATTGTTAATATCTAATGATAATTTTTTGCACCTTTTAGCAGTTTTTAAAAAATTATTTGGGGGGAGGGGGTGGTGATGACAGATTTTAACTTGTCTAGGTTTCTTTCAGGTCATTTTTTTTTTTTTTTTTTGAATGCTGCTGGCTCTATTACAATGTAGTATCTGTTCATAGGTCATTTTTTATTTAATTACTTTTATTACATAGTTTATCCTCAGTGGTGCAACTGACGATGTTGAAGTTTACTTGAGTTGACTTTATGGTTCTTTATCAGTAGTATTCTTGTTCTTTTAGTAAAATGAATTGAAAGAGCAGCTCTGTGCTTTATTATAAAAAAATGGTACTACACAGACGTTATTAACCCACTGAAACACAAAGAGTTAATACTACCTCCACTGGGAATTGAACCCATAACCTCCCATTTGGAAGAGCCACTTTGTGCCACTAGACCACAAGGTCATTGGTCATATGAGTTTATATAGTCATGGGTTAGACTAGCTAATTGATTGGATTCAATCTTTTAGTATGATTTGGCCAAGATTATAACATAGTATCAGTGTCGCCATAAGTGACCTTGGCTCAATCTTAGATTATAACAGATGTCATAGCTAAATACCTCACACTATTTGGGACTACTTAAGAAAATAGAGGTGGGCAAAGTATTAAAAATAACAAAGGTGGCATAAATTTGGGGTCTTCAAATCTGATTTAAAGCCAATAAAGTACATATTTTGCAAGTTATTTTCTTATTGGGTATTCACTTTCAGGTGCATTTGTGGGAATAAACATTGGGACCGATGTCTCAAACCCACCATCAGCATTGGATACGGTTGCACTCCTCAAAGCTCATCAGATAACGCATGTGCGCCTGTTTGATGCTGATGCTCATATGCTCAAAGCTCTATCAAATACCGGGATTGAAGTTATTGTAGGTGTCACGAATGATGAGGTGTTAGGGATCGGCGAATCCTCATCAACAGCAGCAGCTTGGGTGAACAATAACGTGGCTGCTTACATGCCATCAACTAATATTACAGCAATTGCGGTGGGAAGTGAAGTCCTAACTTCAATTCCAAATGCTGCATCGGTTTTAGTTCCTGCACTGAATTACCTCCATAAAGCCCTGGTTGCTGCTAACCTAAATGATCGAGTTAAAGTCTCGACGCCTCAATCAATGGACATAATTGCAAAGGCCTTTCCCCCATCCACCGCCACTTTCAATTCGTCATGGAATTCCACGGTTTTTCAGATCCTTCAGTTTCTAAGAAGCACAAACTCGTACTATATGCTAAATGCTTATCCTTATTATGAGTATGTTCAGTCTGATGGTATCTTTCCGATCGATTATGCACTCTTCCAACCTCTTTCCTCAGTCAAACAAGTTGTTGATCCAAATACCCTTTTCCACTACAACAGCATGTTTGATGCCATGGTGGATGCTACATATAACGCTATTATGGCCTTCAACTTTTCAGATATCCCTGTTGTAGTGACAGAAACTGGTTGGCCATGGTTTGGCGGTACAAAAGAACCCGATGCTACTTTAGAAAATGCTGAAACTTTTATTAAAAATTTGATTCAGCGTGTTTCAAATGATTCTGGACCGCCTAGTCAGCCTGGAATTCCCATTAATTCTTATATATATGAGTTGTTTAATGAGGACAAAAGGCCTGGACCTGTCTCTGAGAGAAGCTGGGGTATAATTTTTCCAAATGGGAGTGCAGTTTATCCCCTAAATTTGGACGGTTTGGGCAACATTTCTGATAATTCTTCTGCAGTGTTCTGTATAGCAAAGCCTGGGGTAGAAGCTAAGAAGCTGCAAAGTGGACTTAACTGGGCATGTGGGCAAGGGCATGCTAATTGCTCCGACATTCAACCAGGAAAACGTTGTTATTTCCCCGATAATTTGGAAAACCATGCTTCTTATGCCTACAATGACTATTATCAGAAAATGCATACTCTCGGAGGAACTTGTGACTTCGATGGCACAGCAACCACCACAACAAGGGATCCCAGTAAGTTTCTGTGATTCTTTGAATTTTTTTTTTTTCTTTTGATGTTACATGAACTCTGGAGAACACGTTATCGCTGGCATTGCCCTTTATTTATTTCATTATATTGACTGGAAGCAATATTTGGAAATCCAAAGTTCAAACCCTATGCACATGTCTCTTAAAATTAGATGTCCTCTCCAATAGCTTGCTTCAAATGCCACTTTGAACTTATTTCTTAGAGATATAAGGATTATGTCATAACTGAGAACAATTGTCATTACTTATTCTTTGAAATATGCCACTAAGAGAATTGGTATTAAATAGGGATCACTGCATATATTTCATTTAAATTTGTTACCTAATCTGTTAAAAAGTCTGATCATTTTCTTGTATGCGTATGCAGGTTATGGGTCTTGTAGCTTTACTGGAAGGTAAGAGGTTTTAGATGAAGTCTATTTGCATTGTGTTTTCTTGATCATGGATCTAATTGTTGGGCAGAGGCCGATGAAGGGTCAAGTCCAACACCCTGCCTCTCAATAGTGTGGTCACCTTCCCTTTGAGCTATAGGGTAAACGCTTATCCTAATAAATGGTATCAGAGCCAGGTCACGGGTAGGTGCTGGGAGAGGGAATTGTTGGGCTGAGGCCGGTGAAGGGCCAAGTCCAGCAATTGGTGGCTAGAGGGATTGTTGGGTGGAAGGTTTTTGGCGTAGTGATAAGCGCTTGATCCTAACACAAACAGTATAACATTGTCTTTTTTTGGAACAGTTCAAATTCAAGTATAGCCGGTGTGTTCCCTTCCACTGCATTAGGGCCTGCAAGCCCTGTAACTGCTAAAGGTCGGAGGACTCTAGCTCCTGATCTCGGGAATATTTTGGTGATATTTCTTGCGGTGTTGTTGCTCGAGGTAAATGTAATGTCGAGATCTTGATTCCAATTGTGCTTTGGTAATTGGTATACTATCTTAGGGATTGATTTTAGATGATTGAAGTATTCTATTCTTTTGCCACTGAGTTTCTTTTCATTGAAATGGCTGTTTTGTGCACAGTTCCATCTTTGAAGATCATTAGCTTGCTTTGGTAGTTTGGTTGTGATTTCCATTTCCTTTTTGTAATGGAGAAAACTCAAAATATTGTTCTTTGAATCTTCATTTAATCATTTCTTGCTCTCTGTGTTATTGAGTTTGGGGGAAGGGTTTACGAGTCTTTCACATCAATTCCCATTATTTAATTATTCCATCCAAAGATTATTGTGATTCTTACATTTGACAAGCGCAATGGTAGTAAGGATTGTTGGGGAATTACATATTTATTATCCATTAAAAGTGGACATTCACTCTTTTATTAGAAAGCACTAGTTATAATGCTCGTATTGCGCAATTAAATTAATTTCAATATGATAATTAAAATAAATACTTAGTGCAGTTTTTAAATATCAAAATTAATTAATATAAAATAAAAATAATTATTTTCAATATAATTAAAATTAGTATTTTCAACTTGTAATAATAACAGTAGTAAAGATGAGTATTGTTATAGATAATTATAATTATGAATAAAAAGAATATGTCTTAACAAATTTCATGTTAAAATAAATTAAGTCTTCTTAATTCGATATTGATAAGTAATAGACTTATTGATATTGTCAAAAAGTAATTAAAGAGTTATGTAATGAAGTTATATCATACAAAATCATTATTTTTATTTTTATTTTTTTTGTATGTGTATGTGTGAGGTTTAGATCCAATTGTTATTATATGTGAACTATTCATCTTGTAAACTCTTATTGATATTTTAAAATATTAATTTTTGTCTCTATAAAATTGATTAGATAATAAAATTATTACATTTATTTAAATTCTTAATGTATAGAGAAATTTTGTCTCATAGTAGAGTAACTTGTAATAAAAGTCTTCAAAAAAAAAAACTTGTAATAAAATGTATATTTTAATTAAACTAATATAGATTTGGAATAGAAAATTACAATTTGTGCTACAACAAATAACATTTCATTTAAGCAAAGAGAAGACAATTTATCCTTAGAATAATTATAGTATGACATATTTTTTAGGATTGAAAATTCAAAAAATAAAAGCCTTCACTTTGTTTTAATAGTTGAAAGAAACAAATCAAATTAAATAAATACTATTTTACTTCTTAACACAAAGAAGAAAATAGTTAAAAAAGAATAGAAAAATAAAAAACAAAATGACACGAGTTTCATTTTGTGTACACTAATTTAATTGTTATAATAATAATATAAAAAATGCTAATCATCATTGTTGTTATTAAAAGGTTAATAAATATTTTGTAAGGAGTAAATTAAGAATAATAAAAAGCTAACACAGGTCCGGTCCTATTGTTTTATAGGCTCCGGGCATGACGAAAAAAAAAGCCCTACTTAGTTAGCATTATACCTAAAATTTAAATTACATAAGAAAAAAAGAATACTAATTTCTATTAGAAATAATTATTTCCTAACAATGATTTATATCACTGCTGGAAATCTCGCTGTTTCCGTCCAACATTTCCGTCCAACCGTAAGTTGGTCGGTGTTTTAAAAAAAATTTCAATTTTCTATGGCTAAAGATGGATGGATAAAAAGTTAGTCAGACTTTCCATCCAACGGGCGAGTGTTGGACTGAATTTCCGTCCAACGGGCGAGTGTTGGACTGAATTTCCGTCCAACCTGTGATGTTGGTTGGTAAACTTGAATTGACCGATAGGTAGAAATTGAAAATAGGTATTTTAATTTCCGTCCAACAACAATGTTGGACGGAAATTTAAATATTTTAGCTAAAAATAAAGGAATACTGGAGTAGTGGACACTAAATAGAGAGCGGGAATATAACTTTGGATGGGAAAAAGAAAATTTTGGCAAAAGAGAACTTAGCAAAAATTCCCGCTTCCATCGTCTCTGTTGTCTCCAGCAAAATTAGGGCTTCTTCCATTGTCTCCAACCAATCACTTCCAGCAAAAATTTCTCGCTTCCAATCGCAAAATCAAAATAAACCTACCTTCACAGCAAAGACTTTTCGCATTTCCGCCTGCCTTCGCCATTCACTCCATTTCTGACGACGCCTTTTCGCCCTGCCTTCTCCATTTTCGCTGCCCTTCCTCCGCTCACGACGACAGCCGACAGCGCCTGAGACCATTCCGACGACACCGCCCCCTCGCCATTCACTCCATTTACGAAGACGCCTGAGACCGCAGCCGACCGTCATTTCCTCTCCATTTCCGCCGCCATCCTTCCTCCGTCGGAGCTCCCTCACTCGCCACTGCCACGGCCCCGGAGCTGTCGATTCCTCTCCGCGACCTGTAAGTCTATTTATTTATTTTATATTTAATTTGTTTCAAATTTTTTAATTTCTTTCAGATTTCAGATATTAGTCTCTAGCCGATTCCTCCACGCAACGTCTGGTGCAATGTGGATTGTCCGATGGTAGTTTGATTAGGAGAGGTATCTTATTGTATGCCTTTGTCAATTTGAGTAGTCTGAATTATTATCTAATCTATGTTGGATGTCAATTTCAACTTCAATTCTAGCCAATTGAACTTGAGTAGTCTGAATTATTATAACTAAAGCAGTGTTTTATGTTTTATGCATAACTAAACATAAAACATAGTAGAACTGTGTGTGTGAACAAAATAGTAACTAAAGCAGCAATTGTGCATTTTGTTTTTGCTGCATATATTCAAGATATCACACTCCTTGTAGGTAACCTAGACTGCTAGGTGGTGCAGTATGTATATATAAAATGTAGGAAGATTATAATTTTTTAGTTAGTGATTGATTGGGATATCAGAACCATGTGGTGTTGTTGGTAGGTGAGAACAATTAACTTTCTTTCTTCTCAACATATTTAGATTTGAGAAGTCCCAGGATGCAGTGTGTTACTTCTTTTAATCATTCAAATTCACAGATTTTTATTTTCTTTTACTTCAATTCAAAAATTGAAATTTTGAGATAGCATTATGGATACTTTTAAGTGTGTTAAACTTAGCAGTTTAAAAAAGGAAAGTATAGAGTATAAAGTTCTGTTCGAAGCATGTCTTGTAAACTACCACTCTCCTCCATTTTGCATGAGCTTTATCTTACAAGGCAGTGATTAGGCTGTTCCCGTATACATGTTTAGTTGCATTAGAATATTGTGCACTAGTGTGTCTTGACAAAATTTACTAGCTTTTTGAATTCATATTTTTAATGCTTTGTTACCTGTTTCATCTAGCCGCTATAGAAATCCTGATTTATGTCTAAACTTTTCTTATCAATTATCAGCAATGTTGGTTTGCAAAATGTATGTTTCGTGAAGCAGCTGCTATAAAGATCCAAAAGAGCTTCCGATGTTTCGTTGCTTGCAAATCATACTCAACATTACGGCATTCTACAATTACACTGCAAATAGGCATGGGAACAATGTTTGCTTCTTTGAACTTTACTTTCATTGGCGATCCGATGATGATCAATTTTTCTTGTTATCAATTTTTGTTTTGGCCAAGCCTATGATTATGGATTGTGAACAATCCACTCCAACTTACTTTATGGATTATCATTTGACAGTCGTGTTTCTTGCTCAGGCACTGAGATTCATTGAGACAGCAAGAGCTAGGATTGAGAAAGCTATGGATGGCTGTTTGACTTTTGATCATTAGCAACTCTTAGAGCTCCTCTTGGCGAGAACACGGTATGGATTTGAGTTCTATTTTTAAAATTAGGATGAATATTTACTGATGTACACACTTGGCAAATGATTTATTGTATAACTAATAATTGTTCATCATTATATTTTAAACTTAAAAACTCAGTTCTGATGTTTATTATTTGGCTTAATACACTCAATATATGTGCATTTGACTATGTGATATTCCATTTGTCTTAATACACTCAACACATGTGATTAACTAGAAACACTTGTGAAGTGTAGAAAGTTTTGTAGAACTTACATTCATCTATACCATCAAGAAAGTAAGGTCATTTTTGCTAAAAATCACTTTAGAAATGCATGAGAAAAATGTTTATTTGATCAAAGCCATCATCTTAAATTAGTTACATTTGTAGGTATACCCATCATATACACTTGAACAAAGTCATTGAAGTAGAAGGTTGTGGATGCTGCATTGGTCAAAGCCATAGAAGAAGTGCCGGATTTGAAGGCTTATTTGGGTGCATCGAGCATACTTAAGTAGTATATATTTTCATTTTCATTTTTTTTTTGTGTATGGTATTAATAGTCTATTGTTGGAAGTACTATGAACATGACTATTTTTGTTGTAAATATTTTTTATGTTTAAATATATTTTCAATTTGAAATTTAGTGTGTTCATTAGTTTGTTACTTCGATGACATCTAATTTATTAAGAATAGGTATAAATAAAATTAGGGTAATATAAAAATAATAAAAACATTCCATATGATTTAGAATTTTCCTACCAACAGTTGGAAGGAAAATAACAAAATATATTGAAAGTTTTCAGTCCAACGAATTCCGACCAACGCACGTAGTTGGATGGAATTTCCGGCCAACATATGTAGTTGGACGGAAATTCCCACATTTTAAAAATGGTGGGTTATTGTCCGGAATTTCCGTCCATTTTTATATGTTGGACGGAATTTCCGACCAAAAAGTAGAATTGGACGGAATTTCCCACAAGCGTTTTTCCGAACGTTCAATTTGGTCGGTATGTTGGACGGAAACCTCGTTTCCGACCAATATATCACGTTTTCCGTCCAATATTCGTTGGACGGAAAACGCGAGATTTCCAGCAGTGTATAATAAAGGTTGTAATTCCATAAGGTACTCACGTTGATGATTAGTGATGTGTAAAGGCGGAATTACTGGGTGAAATTCCCTCCCTCTCATTCTGTTAAAATTTAAGTTTATAAGGGTTAAAAGATGTATAATGGATAAGGTTATGTGTTTCACAATCATAAAGGGATTTCTATTCCAAAAAGAGGTCACATTCCTAAAAGGATTTCTATTCCTAAAGGAGGTTCCCCATTCCTCTTGAAAGAGGGTTTCTCATCACATCTATAAATACCCAGGAAAACTCTAGGGATCTAAACAATTTCAAATCTCTAAGTTTTCTAGTCTCCGGATCATCAGGAGGTGATTAAGGAATATGGATCAGAGAGGTGAAACATTATATTCTTGATTCATTCAATTTAGAGATTAC